TACAAAAGAGCATATTATGTGATTTATTTGAAATATTAACTTTAGAAATGGTTAAGTAGCTAAATTAGTTAAATTAATCTTTACCTTGATCATGTGTGACTTTTCTTATTCGTTTGACATGGTCCAGAATTTCGGCTTGTGGGCAATGATTTTTAACGAATCTTGATGTTTTCATACAAAAAAATATTTAAAAAATAAGTAAATAGATAAATAAAGTAAATCAATGCATACATAATGATTATGGACCTAATCGATTCATTACTTTAAAACCCGTCCCGTCTCGGCGGGTTCCACGTCAGATATATATACATCAACTTTATTTGATTAAAAGGTATATTTTAATTTATTGCACAATGCATAGCTTAATATATTTTTAAAGAGTACCAGTCTCTAATCCTCTTTCTTCTTCGTCCGATGGCACTTTTCGAAAAGGTAGAATTATAGCTGAATCGTCTTCCATCATTGATTTTTTTTCTGGTTGGTTACCAGTTTAATAGAATTCGCAGATCACGTGTTTGTATCTGTTACATAGATAATGTGCTATTTATAGAAAGAAGAATTATCAAAAAATTTACAATAGATCTATAAACATATAACAATAAGATAATTCAAAACAAACAAAGCATTAAATGTTATCAAATTGTTATTAAAATTTTGTAAATTTTGTTATTTAATTCAAAAATTATAAAATGCTCCTATGGTGTTAAATATCATATACTGTATAACATTTATTAATAAAATTCAGGGTTAGGGTGCAGTTTTAGAATAAAGGAGTTTTATGTAAATAATGATAAGGTTCAAATTTCAATTTTCGTGAGGTTTCAGGGTCCTGAACATTTTAACTTAGAGCATCCGATCCCATTTACTTAGTACGTTTTTGAGAAATAGCACTTATGATGTTTAACACCATAGGTATACTGTATTTTACTTAAAATAAAAAATAATATATAGTAGCTAAAATTAATATTATGGTGTGGTGGCTTAGTGAAGTGGTCAAGTCATCACCCTCTCCTAGTAGCAGGTCTAGGGTTCAAATCCCATGGACGATGAAAGTTTGAAAAATAGGCTTGCATTACGGTAACAGATCTTCATTAAGT